AGCGCCCAAACTGTTGTTTCTCTACTATAGTCGTTCAATCACTTTTACAAAACGATCATCGTCGATTCTTCCCCCACCCCACCCCTTCCCTCGTCCTGTTTTCTCCCTACTGCGCCCATTCACAGCCCAATGGCCCTTTCTCGTTTCATCCGAATACATCTGTTCCCATGTCAGTGACCCGAATGCTTTCCGTGCCACCGCAACCCCCACAACCCATGGTTCCTTCAAATTTTGCTGGCAATTCCGGTCTGTTGACACCGAATTCGCAAATATTACCGCCAACAATCAATATGGGTTCATTCAACCCATCCGGATCATGTGTGACTGTCCCACAAACCGCGCAACAGACGGTGATTCCTGGTGAGTAATAATGCTTTGACCAGTCCCCCATCACAATTCCACAACTATTCGTATCATTAACAGTCACTTTCATAATGCTTGGCACAGACCGTGCATTTCGAGTGCAACCTTTAGCTTCGCAATACTCATCATTATCTTCCTTATTTATGGGCGAATTGCCGAAAACTCTTCATGCAATGGATTCAGATTTTAGTCAAAGTAGTTCCAGTAACCATGCACTTTCATGCGCCCGATTTGGTTGCCTGTTTGGATAAAGGTGCAGAATTTGGATTCGAATATCGAGAGCAAAGTTAAGGTGAAGGTAGAGAATTCATGTAGACTGGAGTTGCAAGAATATCGAGTAGATGCACGAGCGTCACTGTTTACGAAACAGTCTCGAACCACCGGCTACCATCATCTCGGGGTCCCCATCCAGGAAGTCTAACGGTGCCTATATGACCCAGTCTCCTGGTTAGGATTTGCATTCCCTTGTCCCAGGTCTTAGTTTGACCGNGACCGTCCCTGACCTTTTTCCATCCGCTACCTGCTTCGGTAAACATCGCTCGCTGTAGCAATCTATTTGGTGACATGTGCAACACATGCTCCAACCACCGTGGTCTAAGGAGGTCGACCACTTGTTCCAATGGGCGACCGCAATTACCTAAAGCTCTACGCCTGACCTCAGCACTCCTTGTCCAGTTTCCCCGCCGGACTAGTACAATGTGACGTAGACAGTGGTGTTTGAACACCGACAATCCTGTTTTCGTAATGGCCAAATCTCTGTACCGATCTGCCGCAACATATACTTGACCCTTCACAGACAGCCGGATGTCGCAACGGCACCACATATGTCTCAATTTGGCAAATGCCAATCGAGCCTTCTTTATGCGTGTTTACACTTCATCTGTGACGTGTCCGCCAGGTGAGATATAGCTGCCCAGATAGACAAATTTATTTGCTTCGTTCATTACTTATGTCATGGTGTGTTTGGGGCCCGATCAACCCAATCTTGTGGCAACATTTTACACATTGAAGACGCAAAACGCATGCCAAATTTAGACACACTGACACTCAAACTATCCAGAAAAGCTTGCAACTTACCTGGATCTTCACTCAGTAGCACAATGCCGTCTGCATACTCTAGATCAGATAGTCTGCCACCTGGGAGCAAATGGATTCCGTTGTACAGGTAGGTATGATCAGTTTCCCGTTCATTCATGGGTGTTAGTAAATTCGTTGTTCCGATCCTGTCTAGACAGCCATTTAACTGGATGAGCACGTACAACTTGTGATACAGAACTATTTGAAAGAGGTATGGAATGCGATTATGCGCTGTACTTGCACGGACTGTTCCGCTGCTTCCGTTCAATAGGTCTCCCCTGAAATGGACATTTGTGTGTAATATTTGTCGGGTACGATGGCACGGATGGTGGTAGACAGCTTGCTGTCGTCTGGTTCGACACCACGCCTGTCCTATCGAGGTTTTGTGTAGTTCGCTACTCCAAGTCCCGGGGCTTAGGTTACCGGTTTCCACCACTAAACAGCAGGTCCTCGTGACTATGGTGCTCTCCCCGTCTTACTGTTCATCACACGAAAGTGTGTAATAAAAAAGTTGATGAAAATCGTCTTCACATATTTTGAATTTTTTGTCCTGACCGATATACGATCACTGTTCTGTTATCCCACTCAGCCAACCGCATGTTCTTCCAATTGCAACGTGATCCACTCACTGAACCGGCATTGTACGCAGCCAGTCTAACTAGTCTGGTGACTAGTCAAGCTCCAGTATCGACTACTGTATGTAGCACTCCATTTGCCTGCCGTGATACGTTTGCGACAGGCACTATGATAACTCCGAACACGTCCACATCGTCTTGCGGAAACGGTTTTCTCGTTTCCCCTCCACCTGCCCCCACCGGTCCGTCTGGAGCTAACCAGTTGACGTTAACTCAGCGCCTGGCTTCAATGAGTAACGCGTCCAGTTCTGTCGTGGTCCATCCGGCCCTGTCTGATCGTGGCTCCAGCGCCTCTGAGACCGATTCCAGCCGACCCGCAGACTCAGTGGTCGAGGGCGGTCTGTTGGAAGATCATCCATCCGTCACCGGATTACAATCCACTAACAGTGTCACACAAGAGAACCCAGCTATCGATTCCACCAATCGAACACTTCCTGAGGGACAAGACAAACCCGGTTCCTCTTCACTATCGGCATGTGCAACGTTGAAATCACTGGATGCCAAAGCCCACCAATATTTACGTCGTGCTTACACGTGCGCAACAAGTGCAATCAAAAAGATATTCCTAAACAATGTGAGTCACTTACCAACCTGATATTGTTGTATCATAAAATGTCATTCTCGTCTGCATCCGGACTGTGTGTGTGTGTGTATGTGTGATAAGCTAATCACAATAATCTTCGTAATACCTCAGCAGAGGCCCTATGGTCCTATGGGAGCGTTTTGCGAGGTGCAAGGGAAGGGTGATCAGTCCCAACCCAAGACACCCACCTCCCGACCACACTAATGCTTTTGGAGGCAGGTTATAGAACAACTATTCCAACCAGATTTGACAAGTTTAGTGGGGTACAGCAGTTTTTGACAGGGTAAGCGTGTTTGGGGACGAGGGCACGGTAGCAGTGTAATCAGTTGCTCGTTGTTCAAACTGAACTGAACCGAATAAAGTGAGAAAAGTGGTTTCTCTTCGTCGCTGGATTACGCTGACGACGAAGTTGCCGATTCCAGACCGTTTCGGTCATTGGGGTCTTATCGGCTGTCACTTGTTAATTTTCGGCCGAACACGGTTTGATTTCAATCGTCCTGAAAATGTTACTCTGTGTGCTACTTGGTGTATTCGACGATGCGCAGCATCCTCAAGCAGTTAGCTCGATGACAGTCACGTCGCCAGGAAATTTTGAACCCACCTCAAGTGGCTCGAATGATATCCAGCACATTCGGTGGATAATCACAATGCCTCATTGGTCTTGTGTTCAAATCCCACGACCATGGCCATTTTAGTTGTATTCTTCTAATTAAACCTGCAAACCCAGTGCTAATTGGTTTATCCAGCAGAATAAAACGATCAAATTATCATGATTGGAAAATCCTGGAGCTTTCAATTTTAGCCATCAGTCTTTATTCCAGTCCATTGTTCGTTACGCTATTCTCCCATGATATATACAAATAGATGAATTGGCTCACTACTTCTCTTCATGTCAAAGGTCATTGTATTTTTTCAGTAATGCATGGGAATCTCAGATTCTGCAAATACATGCCCGTCACTGCATTGTTCCACCTTCTATACCTTAGTGGATTCACGTATTGTGGAGCGTGTATATACGCACGACTGTTTGACTTCTGTTCACTGTTTTGGTCGTATATCCACAGACAAACTTTTAATGTAATGCACACATGCATGTGGACGCTCTTTTTTCATGTTGAAGTCTTCCAACTCCAATTCGTTTGACAACTCCACCGCATCCCATTCCTCGTCCGGTGGTCGAGGGACACGCGGGCACAAATCTCATCATCATCACCATCATCATCATCATCATCCGCACGCGTCCAACGCAGCCCAACAGCGTCGTGCGTACGACACGTGCAGTTCGGTCGGCGCGAACTGCATCACTAATGCTGTCAGTGATTCAATCTCCGGTCACGGTTCTTTGTCGTCCAACAACTTGCTCTCGTCCAATACCGGCACTGGTAACAACAACAACAACAACAATAATAACAATAATAGTAATAATACATCCGGTGGGTCGGGTGAAAATGGTCGAATGAAACGTATGCTGGACGTTCCGATGGAATCCCAGGTGGCCAAGGCATGGAACGGTAACATTTTATGGACACTAGATGTGAGTCACAATTGGAGTAGTCTTCTCGTTAATATTCGAATCAAGTCATCAAATTTCAAATATTATTTTCCACCCGACATTAATTTCATGACAATGTCATGTGTATGATATATGCATAGTATCTGGATAACTGGTCAAAATTTCCCTTGATACCTCTAGTCGGTTTTTGGACTATTACCACTCATTAGGTATTGGTATCCGGTATTCTTCCGTCTCTTATTATTATTATTGTTACAATTATTATTATTATTATTCAACAGTTAACCAATTACACAGAACTGGCATGTGTGCCACAATATATGAACAAAAAGTTTGTCGAATATGTAGATTCGCAGTTTGTGTGGGGGCATGTTACTTCCTGGTTGCCCCAACCGAGGAAGACGGGTTAATCTTGGGATCCCCACCCGAAGCCTTTGACTAGAAACCCAGACCTGCAGGACTACAGGACAGAGCTCAGAGTTCGCAGTCCACTGGGGGCCGGTGTCTAGTTCATCAAATCATACGCCCTTTGGACGAAGGTGCTCAATCGAGCCGGTGACCGCTGTCACAGCCAAAAAGGTATAAGTGGGTGTGGTTCCTGCGCCTCCACTTGGTCGGTTTGGAATGAGGTTTTTTAGCCAACTACTAATGGTTCCCCAACGCGGTGATAGTCCTGGGTATTTACTTTTCGTCAGACAGTGAGTATGGCTTCCGCGGCTAAGGCTGGTGGTGTGGATGGGCTTCGAATAGGTAGTGTTTAGTCCGACTGCACTTTTGCTAGTCATTCTCGGCAGTTAGTTTCATTATTGTTGCCGGTTCAATGTATTTTTCGTTTTCATTTTTTGTCGCAGGTTGCCAGCGGTCTGGGACCATCTGTGGTTTACGAATATTGTAATCTGATTCTTCAGTGTGTCCAATGTCCGCTCCTTATGAACGAGATTGCTGTCAAAGTGATCGATTACTTCAAACAAATCAGTTCCGATTCGGCAGCTAGTCGGCCCCGCGTTCCCGGTGCTGGTTTCCAGGATCCACCTCCAGTCACCATGCTACCGGATCATTCCAACCCCAATCACTCAGCTTCCATATATTATACAGGACAGGAATCCTCATCCACTCAGTACTACCAACCCCCCTTTGTTACCCACTGGCCCATTTTCACACCTCCCCCTGCTGATCCATGGTCTAACCCAACCAGTCGCGCTGACTCGTTGATATCATTCCCACCTTCGAACAATTTTGTACCCCAGGCTCAACCCTGCCCCGTCCGTACACCTGCGCAGTGGTTATCTTCATTCCCTCCAGTAGTCTCATTAACTAATGACTCACTCAGTGAACTAATTGCACGCTACCAACAACTTGGATTCCACCCGACCGAACAAGTGCCTCCTGCGCCGAGTCCAATGCGGGAACCTTGCTTGATGGTCCAATCCTCGCATTACGCCCCGCCCACTCAACCACCCCAACCGACAACACCGTCACAAATGAACGACTCTCTATCCTGTCACCCTCATCAGCCCAGACCGGGTTTACCCCAGTGGTCACATCCCACGGTTTCCCAACCGGCAGTCAGTTATCCGCCTGGTTCGAACGTGAATTCGCCTGCACTAGCTCCGGNGGTCTCATGTGCGTCTGCGATGAATCCTGTGAACGGCTTTATCGGTCAAGGACTGATTGATCGGTTTGTGAACCGAACCCATGCATTGTAAGTGCTATTTGGGTTTAGTTAACGCATTTTTCTTTAAAGTTATGCCCATTCTCTGTGATGATCAACAGACCGAGTGGATCTCATGGTTGCGAAGGCCTGCTATTCAGTGATAGAAACTGACTGTCTAAGCTTCACAATTTGGATTAGCGAACCACATGAGGCCCCACTGGGTAAAGCGTGATGTTGAACCAGAGGACAGCAAAACTGTCTAACACCAAAATTGGGCGGCGGTGGCGAGGTTCGAACCTCGTACCATAGGGTCTAAAACACACCGGTAATAGCGAGGAAACAATTGTGCCTCCAACGTATTCCAAATAACCTTGTTGATGTCTTCCAATTCAATACTACACTGATCTGGTGGGAGATCGTACGTGGTTCACTGCTCCTGTAACCTCGGATTTTATACATTAAACGTTTTATTGTCTAACGGTTAGTTATGAACCAACTTGCACGCATTCGCTAATCCCATCGGTTTGGGGGATTGGAAATAAATACACTTCAGTTCTCAAAACAGTTTTGTATAATAGAATTCACCTACGGATGATGTATTCACTTGGTGAGTTACCCTCGGGTCATATCAGCAGATTATTTCTCCCACACTCGTGTTAAAGGCCCTTCAGGAAACGGCGTAAATTTGAAGAATTTCTATCGTGGGCCGATTCTATCATTATCTAAACGAAGTATGCAATAGACAAACGAGGAGGCAATCGCATCTCATGTCAAGACTTGGGTGGTACACATTGCTGCGTTGGATAAAGTAAATGTCTACTAACGCTAATTTCTGAGGACCCGTAAGCTGTCCGGAGGCAGAACCCACTTTCAGTCCTTTGAGAACCAGACACATAATGCCCAGATTCGATTGATTAGCCTCCTCGGTCCAGCTAGGGCTCAATACACCAGGTAGTTTTTTGGTTTGAAATTGTTAGAACACTTGGTAATCGGTTGCGTTAATACCGATCTCCCAATAATATTCCCATGATAGCATTGAGTAAACGAGTCGGGGAGCGAAAAATTGTTTTCGAATTATCCCAGTCATCCTCTCACGTCTCATACATTGGAGAAATGCTTACATAATGAC